GGCGCCTGTAGTCCCAGCTACTCCGGAGGCTGAAGCAGAAGAATGGCTTGAACCTGGGAGGTGGAGCTTGCAGTGAGCCTAGATTGCGCCACTGCACTCCAGCCTGGGCAACAAAGTGAGACTCTGTCTCAGAAAAAAAAATTGGTTGGGCATGGTAACAGGTGCCTATAATGCCAGTTACTTGGGAGGCTGAGGCAGGCAGAATTGCTTGAACCGGGTAGGCAGAGGTTGCAGTGAGCTGAGATTGTGCCATTGCACTCTAGCCTGGGCGACAGAGTGAAACTCCATCTCAAAAATAAATAAAATAAAATAAATTTTTAAAAAGGATATTTTGGAAAACTCCTTACATACCGAAATTCTTTTTTTATCAAATATTTGGACTTAGCACATTCTTCTTTGAAATGGACCAATAAACAACAGGAGCCCATAAGCAAGAAGAACCCATTATTTTAACAGTAACTATCCTTACAGGCTTTCTTAGGGCTCTTTCTGTTGAATCCTTCCCTCTTACAGGTCCTTGCTAATGATATCTAGGTGGACACATTCTAGATAAGATGTCCCTGTCTAGAATGGCAGCACCATGAGGACTGTATCCTCAATACTAGGACAGTGCCTGGTGCTTAATAGATAGTAAATAGTTGTCTAATTAACTGAGCAAACAGATAGACTCATAAATTAGCTTTTTGCTTTTTCTGTTAGAAACTAAAGGTTCAGGTCGGGCACAGTGGCTCATGTCTGTAATCCCAGCACTTTGGGAGGCCAAGGCGGACGCATCACTTGAGGTCAGGGGTTCAAGACCGGCCTGGCCAACATAGTAAAACCTTGTCTCTCCTAAAATTACCAAAATTAGCCAGGCATCATGGCAAGCACCTGTAATCCCAGCTACTGGAGAGACTGAGGTGGGCGAATCGCCTGAACCTGGAGGAAGAGGTTGCAGTGAGCTGAGATGGTGCCAGCCTGGGTGACAGAGGGAGACTTAAAAAAGAAAAAAAGAAAAGAAACTAAAGGTTCAGAGCATCCCAGAAAAGGAAGAGTCCTCACAAGCCAGTAATCTAGGCAGGATTACTGATAGTATTTTTCTATTTGTTGCATTTTTATAAAATGCCATAGATAGGGGGCTTTTTTGACATTACATTAGTCTAAAAATCACACATTTTTATATGAACTAACCTAAATGTCTGATGAATCTCACAACACCAAGTCTTTGAAATGTGCCTGTATAAATAAAATATTAATAGATTCATGCTAATATTAAATATCGATAATGTTTAAATACCTTAATTATTTTTTCACTCCCTAGCTTTAAAAGAAAATAACCAACCTCAAAAGGACATCACAATAAATCAAGTCTATTTGGGGGAGTTGGAGGATTTTTTCCCTCACTAGCATCATTTGGAAATAATTTCATGGGCATTAATTGCATGAATGTGGTTAGATTAAAAGGTGTTCAGCCAGAACTTATAGTTCCATACTAGGTGATTTCAATTCCTGTGCTAAAACTAATTTGTATGACATATTTTCATTTAATGGAAAACTTCTCAAAGTATTTCATTTTCTTGGTACCATTTATTGTTTTTGCAGCAGAGGGATACCATGCAAGATAACCTAATAAAGCTCCAGCAGGAAATGGCTGAACTAGAAGCTGTGTTAGAACAGCACGGAAGCCAGCCTTCTAACAGCTACCCTTCCATCATAACTGACTCTTCTGCCCTTGAGGACCTGCGAAATCCAGAACAAAGCACATCAGAAAAAGGTGTGTAATGTTGGCCAAACAGTGATATCTTAAGCAAAATTCTTTCCTTCCCCTTTATCTCCTTCTGAAAAATAAGGACTTAGCTCCAACATTTTATGATCCTTGCTCAGCACATGGGTAATTGTGGAACCTTGGTTCTTGTCCCTGCTTACAACTAATATACCAGTCAGAGGGACTCAGGGCAGTCATTCGTGTTGTCATCTGAGTACCTACAACAAGTAGATGCTATGGGGAGCCCATGGAATATAGATGGTATACAATATAGCTCTTGCTCTATTGGAAGCTAAGTGGAGTAGGAGAAATTGGTGACAGGCAACCCGATAATTTCAGAAAGCTATGAAAAAATACTCAGACATATTCCTTATTACACTGGTGTCACATCACAAAGGCCTATTTAATATGCTTCTGATTTATAGGAAGAGACATCCTATACTTCAGGAACTGCACTTTGATCCACAGAAAGCCTAGTGATGTAGAGCTCCTGTTAGTTCAAAAGGAAAGAACACAGAAAGCCTAATTTTATGCAGCAGAGTCAAGTGCTTTATAGCAATGTTACAGTTACCAGAAAAAATCCGGATGGACCTCTGAGGATGCCATTGGAGTAACTAGGCAGGTGCAGTTGATCAGAGCTAACTTCCTAGAAGAAGCGAGCACTGAGCTGAGGAATAATAGCATAAATGAAGGAAAGTGAGATGGAAATTTGAGTTTTTAATTGGAAAGACAACACATCAGGCAGGTTTTTAAACAGGGGCAAACACTAGACACTTAGGAGAGGCTGGGCATGGGGTCCCCACCAGGATGCTGCTTAGAAACATGCAGGGGTGGTGAGTGCTCTCAAAGTACACTTCATTCCTATCTCAGTGATTCTTATCTGAGTGTTAAAGTTCCTTCTTCAGCACCCTGTTCCACAGTCCAACTGGGGACTTTAAGGCCTTTCTTTGAGTCTTTCTAGGAACTCAAGTCTGTTACTTACACAGAACAGTGGCCTTGGTCCCCAGTTGTGCCTTGCAGTATTTTTGTGTTCAGGAACAAACAATAGCTCTTGGATAAAGAAGCTAGCTAGAAACTCTGTTGCTATGACAGTGCTTCAGAATGTATTTCCTTAAATGCTTTCATTGTAATTATCTTCATTTAGTTCATCTCTCAGATAATGAGAGTTCAGAGTCCCTTCCCTAGTATAATACTCTTCTTTGGGGTGCTTTCACCATCTTCAGTCTAAACACAGACTAGACTTTCAATTGTAATGTGTAAGACATAAAATGTTATTATTGTGTGACTTTGAATATCTGTGTAAATCTACTATCTCCTCTTTGGTGTATACGTGTGTTTATTTTTTTCTGCAGATCTGTAACTGAAATGCTTCATTTCTGAATCATTTTGGATATCACAGCTTAATACCAACATAAGTTTTGAGCCTTTTCCTCCCTAAATCTGGTTGAGTCTAACTGAAACTCAAATGAACTTTTTAAAAATAATTTTTTTCTTTAATTTTTTTTTAAGTAGAGACAGGGATGCACTATTAACTAGGCTGGTCTTGAACTCCTGATTTTGAGCAATCCTCCCACACCTCAGCCTCACCTTTTTAGAGAGGGTCTTGCTCTGTTGCCCAAGCTGGAGGGCAGTGGTATAGTCACAGCTCACTGCAGCCTCTCAAACTCCTCAAGAGATCCTCCTGCCTTAGCCTCCCAAGTAGCTGGGACTATAGGCATCCGCCACCATATCCAGGTAATTTTTTTTTTTTAATTTTTTGTAGAGACAAGGTCTCCCTATGTTGCCCAAGTAGGTCTCAAACTCCTGAACTCAGGCAGTCTTCTCATCTCAGCCTCCCAAAGTGCTGGGGTTACAGGTATGAGCCATGGCACCTGGCCAGAACTTCTATGCCAGACACAGTGGCTCACGCCTGTAATTCCAGCACTTGGGGAGGCCGAGGCGGGTGGATCACCTGAGGTCGGGAGTTCGAGACCAACCTGATCAACACAGAGAAACTGCGTGTCTACTAAAAATACAAAAAATTAGCCAGGTGTGGTGGCACATGCCTGTAATCCCAGCTACTCAGGAGCCATGGTGCCCGGCCTAGTTTATTATTTCTTAATATCTGTTGTCTTCCAGTGTCTTCCTTAATTCTTCACAATACCCTGTATAATGCTTAGCACACAGTGGGCAGTCAGTAAGTTTATTAAATGTTTGGTGTGGCCCATACTTCCTACCCACGAAGAATGTAACATGTTAAGACATCTAGATGAGGGAATGATTTAAGAGGAACTACAATACTATTCTGAAACTTGGGCTCTGGATCTCTGCATTTGTACTTTCCTAAACCAGCCAGCAAGTAGATCATCATGTCACAAGGCCTAGATTGGGCTTGCTGTTCAGAGAATGAATTAAGAATTAAGGAAGAAAAAAAGGAGAAAGGTTTTGCTCTGTTTTTCAGGTTCTACTGAGTTATTGACGTCTAACTTAACTTGTCTTATCTTCTTCATAGCATGTAGTAAGAAGATGAATTTATACGCTAAATGTTGCGGTGATGGAATGACTTTTTTTTTTTAAACACCTATTATGCCATGAATTCATAGGGAATAGGTTCCAGCTGCTCAGGCTCCTTCCCACTGGTTCTCACAAAGTATGCTTCTCTGGGTGGAGCAGGCTGGCGCTTCAGTTGAACCCACATACCTTTCTCTTTGGCTTCTTTCTTTTTCTGATCATTTTCCTTCACACGTTTCAGGAAACTATCTCGGCTCTTAGAGTGCTCAATATTCTCAATATGCACATTAATTCTCTTGGCAAGAATCTTGCCCTTAACTTGTTTGTTTACAGTGCCAACAGCATGCTAGGTCACATTGTAGACTCTTCCAGTTTTGCCATGGTAACACTTGTGGGGCATTCCTTTTTGAACAGTACCCATTCCCTTGATGTCTACAATATCACCTTTCTTATAGATTCACATATACGTGGCCAAAGGAACAACTCCATGTTTTCTAAAAGGCCTAGAGAACATTTATCGGGTGCCTCTCCTCTTTCCCTTTGTGTTCGTCATTTTGGTGAATTACTGGAAGATTGCGGTTCTGGCCGAAAGCAGGAATGACTTTTTAATAGCTGTGTTTGTATCTGAGCCTTCCCTCTGCATTTCACTTTTTTTGTTGTTGTTGTTTTTTGGGGTTTTTTTTGTTTTTTTTTTTGAGACTAAGTTTCACTCTTGTTGCCCAGGCTGGAATGCAGTGGCGCGATTTCGGCTCACTACAATGTCTGCCTCAGCCTCCCGAGTAGCTGGGAGTACAGGCGCCCGCCACCACGCCCAGCTAATTTTTGTATTTTTAGTAGAGACAGGGTTTCACCATGTTGGACAGGCTGGTCTCAAACTCCTGACCTCAGGTGATCTGCCCACCGCGACCTCCCAAAGTGCTGGGATTATAGGCATGAGCCACCTCACCCGGCCACTTTTTTTTTTTTTTAAACTCTTTCCAATGGTTAATTCTGTTTGATATGATTCCTTGGAACTTGCACATTACCCTTTATCAATTATCACCCTGTATTGGGGGTGGGGAGGATGATACTTCTCTTCATAGTTAGATCCTGCTTACTTTCAACAGAGTTCTAAATGATCCTGGAAACTCACAGGTCCAGCAAAGACAAGCATAAAGGAAACTATAAATAATGCATTTGAAGACTAACTCAGGAAATCAATGATTATTCCCCCCCTAGGCTACCCAGTGTCTTAAAAACCAGTTTAATTAATATAATCTTTTGTTTCAATTTTCTACCCATATTTATGACTTTTAGCTTTTCTAATAAAAGCTCAAAATCAGTGACTTTTTAATGAATAGAAGACATTTGCAATTTTTAACTATTTGTTTTTACTTATGAAATATTTCTACCTTGGCCGGGCATGGTATCTCACGCCTGTAATCCCAGCACTGTGAGATGCCAAGGCAGGAGGATCACTTGAGCTTAAGAATTTGAGACCAGGCTGGGTGTGGTGGCTTATGCCTATAATCCCAGCACTTTGGGAGGCCAATTTTGGCGGATTACCTGAGGTCAGGAGTTCAAGACCAGCCTGACCAACATGGTAAAACCCCATCTCTACAAAAAATACAAAAACTAGCCAGGGGGTGGTGGCGGGCATCTATAATCCCATCTTCTTGGGAGGCTAAGGCAGGAGAATCACTTGA